TGGGGATTTTTGTTTGCCCCCAACCTCCAATCCAAACCTCAGCCGAAGGCGGCGACCCGCTGAGACTCTCGCGGATGCCAGCCGAACCAGCGTCTCCAGCACCGGGGCGGTGGTGACCACGGCGTCGTCGCTCGGCTGAGTCGAGGCCATTTCGCGGGTTTCAGCTCGCCAGAAGCAGCTTCTGTTTTACGGCTTCTTCGGGAAAACTGACAAGCCATGTAGAACCCAAGAAGGTGTCCTAGTGGTCAAACCTTTCAAACCCACAAAATGCCTTCTGTTTCTGCTTTGACTCGCATTGACACCGCACGCAAGGGTATGGTATGGTCAGAAAAAAGCACACACTCCAAAAAGGAGGTGATGCAAAAACGCCAACCCGAAGGGAACACGTCAACAGGGAACCCTGCTGAAGCCTGTTACGACGGCTCGAGCACCGGGGGTGGCGCCTCTTTGCCTTTGGGATGCGCGTCAAAGCTGAGATGCGGCTTCGCGTCGCCATACCTGTCAAGTGTCGAAGTGCGGAGCTGCAGAGCAGATCCGAGCCGCCAAGCGTGAATCTCTCTTCACAAATCAGACCGTGTTTCTTGGGATGGTTTCGCAAAGAAAAGGCAATCCCAATGATTAACCACATTTTAAAGGGTTATCAGGAGATTAAAATGGGACTGCAATTAGAAGAGCCTCCTTGTGGTCTGTCTAAAGGGAAGTCAATAAGAAGCCACCTTTTGTGGTCCTGTGCTTTATTCCAATGCCGTGGCGCACCATCTGATGTCGCAGCGTCCGATTTCCGGCCTCGGACATCAACCGCTCTTACTGAGGTGGGGTCCAAAAGCCTTCGCTTTCAAGGCAAAAGAACCTTCAGCAGCCTTCGAAAGGGGTCTTAGAACTGAGAAGGGTGAGGACTCTTGGGGTCCTGCGAAAGGAACCCACTGGAAAGGGGACGGCCGGTCTGGAAGCCATGTCCAACTGCTTCCATTGAAGTTTTTGCATTCTCCAAATGATCCTCGAAAGAGTCTACGGGGAAACCAGCCCTAAAAGTACTTTCCGCCGCCAGAGATCTTGAGAGGAACCAGTCCAGATTAAAGGCCAACCAGCCCCCCAATCGACCGCCTTCTTAAAAATCACGTAGGGCAAACCCCACATCGACAGCCTTTGTAAGTCCTTTCCGGCAACTCCTGAGACGGGCGCCAGAAGCTCACGTGGCGGTCGCCGCCCTCCCTGGCCTCGCAGCCCAAGGAAAACGCAAATGGCTGTGGTCAAAACCATTTTGGGATCCCATTTGTGGTCGGTAGGTGAATTCACCACCAATTTTAGAGCCTATTTTAGTGGGGATTGGGATGTTCACCAGGGGTACAGGGTTTTGATTACTTAAGCAAAACCCGGTATTAAAATGGTCGTAATTCCAGAACCATGTAAAGAATTGGGAAGGCGGCCGCAGCTATTTGTGGTTGGGATTGTCCCTTGCTGACCTTCATCTACGCGGGCTTTGATTGTGGCTCAAATGAAATGGCCTAAAGACGATGTCTTCAAACAAGCAAAAGGGGGGCAGCACTGCAAACCAGGTGAATAAATCCAGGATCACAAGGCAGCTCACACGCAGTTAGTGAAGATGTTTGTTTTCACTGGCCCTGTATTCCTGTATGAAACATCACTGGAATTGAATCTCACTCAAAATACAAAACCAAACACATGACTTGTTGAAATCACCTAAGCGGGCGCGTTCAAGGACAAGGCTTCCATCTTTGACAAACAACTTGAGTCACTCCCACTGTCATTGCAGTATAACATGGCAATTCAGTGAGTATATCCAATGGATGTCCTTTGCTACATTTCTTTTCAGCGAATACCGACAGTTGCTCATGGGGGCTTGCCTGAAAAAATGGATTGCCCGCAAAAAGCGCCCAAGCCTCACCCTTCGGGCGCCGCAACCCTCTTTGACTCACCGAACATTGGCCCAAGAGGCGATGCTTACGACCCCAAGGTGCACAAAACTTGGACCCCTTCGCGACCCTCGCCGAGCGCGTCGCGTCGCGCGTGGTGTAGCCCTGATCTTCCAGGGCCTCGCGCGCAGGAACTCGGCGGCAGTTGAACATGGCCACAGGTGATCTTTTTGGAAGCAAAAGAGGGAATAGATTCAGTAAATGCTACTGGCGTATCATAAACCTCTGCTTCATTCAGATAGACCTAGCTCATTGGGCCAAGATTTCACAAGACAGCGAAAGGAAGCTTGGGCCAGATCGCAAACCCACAACCTTGAGGTTGATTCTTCTCGAGATGTGCATCGCTCCGGTCTTGTAGCATGCCCCAACCCCCCCCCACCTCCCGCCCCCCTCAATCTAATCCAGGCGCTCGGCGCACCGCACGAAGGCTTCACCCCGGTGACAGTGGTACTTGACATCCAACGGAGAATATAACCAGTTTTCCCAATGGGAAAAGCAAGATAGTTGGCTGTGGGTCAAAAATAGGTACCCAAATGGCACACTGGTAAATGGAAACAATGACTAAAACCTGTGGTCCCCTGGTGGCTTAATTTTGACCCATACCCAGTTCATGTGGCTGCCAAGGACGCTACTGAGATTGCGTCCGATTTTCAAGACACATAAACTAGACCGTTTTTCGGGAGTCCGTAAAATAGGAGACTCCGCCTTGCACGGTGTCTTAAGGGAACCTCAAGGAACCCAACATTTTTTGGAGGCCGCATATTGAGAACATGGGTTGCAAAGCAATCACTCATAAATGGTAACAATATTTGGGGCCAACAAGTACACATTCTCTTGTGATCATGCCTTAATTCCCTCCATTTGCTTAAGTCCCCCGGAAAAAAATCAAGTACCAGTATTTCCACCAGTGATAGATTCCCTTTAAAACCAACAGGGGAAAATCAACAAATGTTCTTAACCAAATGGAAGATTCTGGTTCAACCTCTCCTTCTGGCCCCCTTTTTCATGTGCGGCCGTTCCGCCGCTCCGCCTTCCGCGTAGTCCACCCGACAAAGCGGTACAGCTCCGCAATCATCTCGGGGTTTCCAGGAGGAGGCTGCAGCACCTCCCAAAAACAAACATGGAACCATGGGTCAAAATCCAAATCGTACCCTCAGTGAACAGCCCGAGCCCCACTAAAATAGGTTCTAAAATGGGTGGTGCACTTACCCCAAAATGGGACCATTGGTTTTGACCCAGACTGGTTTGGAAGGCTTCTCTCACACAGACCCTCTTTCTTTCTTGCTTTTTTTTGGAGGGGCCTCTTCCAGGTTCCACACATGCTTTTGGAAGTGTACCTCAATTGGCATTTGCTTCCTCAAAAGGCTGTTGCCCGCTCGTGTTGGGCTTACCTGGGGTCCCTCGAACTAAGAAAACGACCCCCAGCAAGAAAGAACATTGCTTTTGTTGCGTCGCGTAAATCAGCACGGTTGAACTCCATTCTTTTGAGGGGGCCCTTTACTGTCGCACGACCTCCGACCCCAACAGCTCCCCAGTCTGCCCGCCTCGCTTCTGAGCGCCAGGAATGCCTCTGCGAGACGGGTGTCTTCGTTGTTGGTCTTCTTGATAAGAAACAAACACAGACAAACAGACACCTCCCCCCGTCTTCCCCGTCCCGGCAAGAAAAACAAAGCCAAGCGCGCCTCGGGTCGCCAGACGGTGCGGCGCAGCTGCCGGGTCAAGGGGTGACCCGCGAGGCGCGCAGCGACCCTGGCAGTCGGTGGGTTGCATGCGTTTGCGTGCATGCGGGCAATCGCGTTCGCGAGTTTGCGCTCGCGGGTGTTAGCTTTTACATGCATACGTTTGACGGGCGTGCACTTGTGCGCGGGTCTCTGTCTGTCTGTCTGGTCTGGTCTGTCTGGCTGTGTGTTTGTCTGTCTCGCTGTCTCGCTGTCTCTCTGTCCGTCTGTGAGTCTGTCTGTGTGTGTGTGTGTGTGTGTGTGTGTGTGTGTGTGTGTGTGTGTGTGTGTGTGTGTGTGTGTCCGTGTGTGTGTGTGTGTATGCGTGTCTGCATGTCTGGCTGCCTGTGTCTGTGTGTGTATCTGTGCCTGTGTGTCGAAACTGGGAACGTTTCTAGGATGCTGGAGGATGGTCTGGAAGAAGTCCATCCCAGGGCATAAAATCAACCTCTTTTTCAATGGGGGATGAGCAAAGGGAGGGAAGGCCAGTATATCTGGCCAATTTGCGTATAGCATTGTGTAGCCAGTTCTGACGCCAACTGACCCTCGGCCCAGTTGGGTGGTTCAGTTGGCCAGCGGCCTTGTCGCAAATACCCAACCGGATATGTCAGACATGGTTTTCCCTCATGGAGGCCGATATGACGCAACCGAGCCCTCAAATGGGCTGAGAGGTTAAGCAGGTTAAGCCAACAAGCTGTCTTTTGCCCTGGTTGCTGGCTGCGGCCGGGGATTTAACAAGGACAACGCTGGCGTAAGAAAACCGCCATGTCTATATATATATATATATTCAATTCTGCATGGTGTAGATAACTAATATCTCTATATATATATATATATATATTCAATGGAATGCCTATATATATATAATAAGTGTGTGCACATGTGTGTGTGTGTGTGTTCGCCCGCTTGGATATGCACCCTCAATCCCACGCCTTGAAGATCTACTTGTCGCAGCCTCAAATGACCAGCTTTCATGTCGGTTCCCACCTCACAAAGTAACCCAAAGAAGGCTCCAAGCGATTTTGACTGGAGATGACGGGGACACACTCGAGCGCCGCGCACGGAAAGTGGGCTGCTCCGTCATGTCCGCCTGCATCGGTCAAGGGTTGCACACCCCTAGAACTCCTCGCAAACCTGGCCCGCAAACAATTCCGCATAAACCCAGGCAACAACGGCCGGTTCATAGTTTGCAAGCCTCGCCTACATTGCAAACCCTTGTAACTACAACAACCAAATCTACCCCTTTGCTAGCTCCTTAAAAACCTGCTTCCAAACTCTTGTAGCTGATTGTGGTTTCTCATGGTTCTTATGGCTATATGGCTATGACTACTGGCTGTCCGCCGTCCCAAATCATCCCACCGGGTCCAGGACCTACATGCTGTCATTCAATCCGGCACAGAATGCGCCACCCGCCTCGTTCTCGACCAACCTAGGTCCATCAGGCGACCCTGTATTGACTTTATTGAAGCAGGGAAAATGGAGGGGGCTGGACAACCCTCCCCCCCACTCCCACCAAAAAAGGGCCCCTGAAAGACGGCCTCCAAGAGAACTCTGTTATCAAACTCGTTCCTGGAACCCATGTTGATCCAACAACAATCTTCTCTCCAAAGATAAAAAGACAACAAGCCCGCGATCCCCCATGGCAGTCAACCCATGGCCGGGGAATCTTCAGTCTGTCACCCTTGTCCAAGTATTCTACTTGATGCTCCACCTCGAGTAGGTTGAAGCCTGGTTCTAGGTCAACAAAAAGCCTGTCCCGTGAGCATCCCCCCGCGAGCAAACTCCAATTGCGTGAGGTGCCCACGGGATTGCGGCGGCGGATTGAGGCCTGAAGGCAGGGGAAGCCGGCGACAAGGAAAACTCGGAGGCCGATTCCTTCGAAAGTCGCTATCTGGGTGTCATTTGTTTTGAAAATGGCCGGCCGGTTTTTTCCCTGCCGTGGATTGGCCGGAAAAAGTCGGAACTTACTTTTTAGCACCAGAATGGTCTTCCCGAAAAGTTTGAGGTGCAGGAACTCAGGAAGTGACTTTGGCTCCCAACGCGAAATCCAGGCACCGGCTCGCAATTGGCCAGCGCAACCAACACCGCCGCCCGCCTCAACTGGAAGGTGGTCACGCCGTCCTGGTCGCTTTCACGCGGCCACCGGGATCCGGTCCGCCAACCCCCCCCCCCAAACAAACGGCCAAACCAAACAACACCCAAACCACGTCTCTCCTCTTCCTCATCACCCTCTAGCAGGGTACCTGAGCGCACGGGGTAGGATTGCCCATCTTCTGGTGGATTGGTTTGGTGTGGCTTTGGGGTGGGCTTGGGTTTAGGCTAGGGGGCTTTAGCGCGGGCGCGCATGTTGGGTTGGGTTGCTGATGTACAGACTGGTGTGGTCCAAAAATCATTCAAATGTTAGCTGTTGGCTCACCGGAAAATTGCAGCGGCAAACCCCCGCCTTGCAGCTCAGTGACGGCATCCTCTGTCGACTGCCTGAGCCGTGACCTCAGTAGCTCAGTAGGTTTGGGCCACCTGCTCAAAAACTTAGTGCTCTGTGTGTGTGTGTGTAGCCCATGGATGACGTAGCTGCCCAATCAAATTGACCCCCCTCGTGAGGCACAACGCTTGGGGATTTCGGAAAGACGTGGAAAGCGTGTGAGATTGCAAGAGATGACTGAAAGCAGGGCTGCGCCACGTTTTGCAAACGTCAATCTTCAAAAGTGCGGTCATATCTGCAGGGCCCCCCAAAGACCTAAAGGGGCCTGGACCCAAAGAACCTCACGTGGCACCACATGCCTGAAAAGCTGTTTCTTTCACTGCCTGAACCTGCCATACCTACGGAGTGTGGATGTTTCTCAAGACCGGAAAAATGATCGAGAACCTTCATGCCCGACTCAAGCGTGCCATGCCGGATACATTGGTCAGGACAGCTTGGGTGGCCTCCAACATGATGCATGTTCTCAATCTTGTTGGTGCATGTCTTCAATCTTGCAGTTTGGGAGCCCGCAAAAATGTGCCTGTTGGGTGACCTCATGTCTTCAAACTTGCATTTTGAGGGTCCCCCAAAATGTACATTTTAAATAACCCGCAAACAACATGTACATGTTCTCAATCTGTCTGATACATGTCTTGAATCTTGAATTTTTGGGGTCACGTGAAATGTACAGTACATGTTAGGTGACCTCCTAACAGCCGAACCGAGCCCTGAAGCGTGCTCACCATGGTGCAACCAACCCGGAGTTAGGTCTTGCACAATGCCTGGATCTATCCTGATTTAATGGACAACTGTTGCGAAGAGAAAAGCAAGTCTAAGGCGTTACCTGGTTAAATAAGCTCCGGTTGTGCAAAATGCAGTGCAAGCAAGTCTGTGCGCTATACACGCATCAGGGATGATAATCAAATGACAATGAATATGTACAATTGCGTATGAGTGGACTTGTCTTGAACGAACAAAACAACAAAATACACACACACACACACCAAAAAAAAAAGAAAAGACAAAGAGAAAGACAAGTCAACCAAGGATCCAAACAAACAAGCAAACAAACGAAAAAAAAAACAAGCAAGCAAACAAACAAGCAAACAAGCAAGCAACCACCAACCAACAAACCAACCAACAAGCCAACCAAACAAACAAACACCAACCAACAAACCAACCAACAAACCAACCAACAAGCCAACCAAACAAACAAAAAAACAAACAAACAAATAAACAAACACAACAGTATCCTTTGGTACCCCGTAGATTCAAGTTACAGTGGGGAAAGAGCCGCTAGCCAAAAGCTAGCAATGGTAAAGCTCAAAATCAAACACGATGTTCAACCAAACTGACCTACAAACACCTAGTTTGGCTACTTGTTCATGGTTAGTAACTATGGTGATAACCCTGGCTATAAGTCCCCCTTTAGCCTGTTACAAGTTACCCGCAGTTCCTATCCTGCCGTACCTAGCCTGATGTCTTACCGCAATGGGGTGGGACACGGGAAAACAAAAACAAAAAAAACAGTAGGTCCCGTCATGATTTGGGTGTGGCCCAAAATCAAAGAGCTAGGGTTAGCCACAGCCATTTTGTGAGGAAACTCTTGGGGGCTGAGGAAACTGGACCTCAGCCCCAGACGTATTACGCGCCCGAAAACTGGTTTCCCGAAACCACCCTTCCCCCGCCTCTGGGCAGCGCCTGGCCGCTCTTCGGCCGGCGCGGTGCGCGGCCGGTCCTCGCCCAGCGCCTGAAACGACGGAACGCTTTCTTCCCCCCACCCCCCAAAACACACACACACACACAAATAACCCCCCCCCCCCCCACTTCCCCGCTTTAAAACAAAAGAAAATGTGTGAAACAAAAAAGAAACAACAAGGAACCATGTGTGATATAAGACCTGGGTGTGTTTCCAGGATGAGACCCTTGATCAAAGGTGTTTCTCGGTTTTCTCTTCTTTGGGTTCCCAATTGACGGACACCTCTGGCCAAACGCGCGCGCGCCTCCTGCCCGAAGTGCGGAAGCTCTCCTTCGCTATGAGCAAAAGCTTTTGGACGCATCTTTGGTTTGGCTTCGAAGCCTCAGGCTTCTCCATTTGGTGAAGACCCCTGGAAAATATATATATATATATGTATTTCCAGTAGTGATAAGTTCATGTTAAAACCAACAAGGGGAAAACAAAATAGTTATTTCAGCAGTGATAAATTCATTTTAAAACCAAGGGAAAGTAAAACATAAATTAGTCATTTCAGCAAATGGAAGTTCCGGCTTGGCCGAAAAGTGACTTAGGCTTGGCTGCGGATTGGCCCTTGGGGATCGGTTTCAGGGCTCTGGTGGGAAAGGGCGCAGGTCCCGAGCCCATTTTCTGACCAGTTCTGGGACTGGGGATTCTTTTATCCGCAGAAAGAGGGTTGCCGTGCGTGGAGCTCCATCTTGCAATACATCAAATTCAATTGAATGTTGCACCTTGTGAAAAAGCTCCCCTTTTCTTGAAACATGCCCAAGTCTGAGCCAAAGCGCCTGGTTGCGGATGCCGCTGTGCAAAAGGTGAAGATACCTGGCTTGCGGCAAATTCATTTCACCTCCGGCTCCAGTGCAAACAAGTGTTCGCCAATCGTTGACCCGCTCCCAAAGGGCAAAACTGCGAAATAAGTAAGGCTTTAAGCTTGCAGCGTCTTGAGCGAGTAAGAAAGGCTTACGGTCAATTCTACTCTCCCTGGTTCTGATCAAAACACCTTTTCACTAAGGGTTTGGCAGGGACGTTCCTGGAACCCTTCTCCCAGGTGTTTTGGACTGGCAGAACCAACTGAAACCACACTGACCGAAAGGGACCTGTGCCTGTGCCCCTTCTAGGAATCTACAACCCATTATCAGATGTCCTAAGGATCCATGGCAATGCTCAGCTTCCACCACACGTCCCGTCCGCGCCCCTCTGGCTGCTGGCGCTGTTGATGGGCGGCAGTGGTCGTCATCCTCCAAAGTGGATGGGTGCAACTAGCCTGGAGGGGAACCCATGCACCTGGTTCCTGGGGAAGTTAGGGAACTTAGGCAAATGGTTGTTAGGGAAGTTAGGGAAGTTAGGGAACTTAGGCGGGAACTTGATTTTCGAGGGTGATAAAGCGATCCACTGGGAGTTGTTCTGTGACTCGTGGTTCCCTCCAATGGAAGCTGGCAGGATGGAATTGAAGACGACGCCTTCCTTTTGCGGGGGCTCACAGTTCAATGCTCGGCTGGTGAACCAATCATCTCATGTGATCGGTCAAAATAGCGGACTGCTGAAATGGCGTTCCAAGGGTAAGTGGCCACAAGCCATTGGGCATGCAAAACTCGCCCGTTCCCCTTGACTCACTGGTCTGTTTGCTCCGAACCTTGCAGGGTGCCGTTGGACCCGGCGTGTGGCTTAGGGGTTGTAAAAGGTGCGGGGGGTTGAAGGGAAACCAAAAGGAAACCATCTGATCTGTGTTGGTTCATTTGGTTCTGAAGCCATCTATTGAAACTATCTGTTTGGAAAGGTTGCCAACATTGTGACACCGCACCTTGCCGGCACCAAGAATTCCATATGCGCCCTGAGCAGAACGCGCACCCCAGCCACTGTTCATGCCAATCTCGAATAATGCCATGGGCGCTAGGGCCGCTAGGGGAAATGGGGCTGGGATCAAGGAGCGCCTGTGGAATCCAAACATGCGCCGGACACTTGCAACCACACCCTTCAGGTACATTTGAGCGTTGGTTTGTATCCCCTACAAGCTTGATTGGGCATTCTTCACGCTTCCGCGGACCCCACTAAATCAGCTTGCGGCCAAACAAAACGCCGCCCATTTGATGGCCAGGTGGGCCGTCAGCCCCGGAGCTGCCTGCAGGATGCTGCTCCGCCCTCTCCTCGCTGAGTCCGGGCCTTGGTCAGTCCCAGCCCGAAGCTTTCCACACCGCAAAATTGAAGGAAACCTCCCGGAATTTCTTCAGCACATATGGCAGTCCCTCAAACACGGCGGACCCCTTTTTGGCCAACTGAAGGGAAACCAGAAGTGGACCTCCTGTGTACTTGGGGGACTTCTTGTGAGCAACGCCCATATGGAGGGCATCTGGCAAAAGGGCTTGGACGCTGGTGCGCAGGTGCCGCACTTCGGCGGGCGCCGGGCGGAGCTCCCGCAGGACGCTGCGGCTCAGGCGAGTCACCCCGGCCTGAAGCTGGACCCGAAACTGGCGACGGACTGTGGACCGGAATCCGGCAACGGATGGGCAAAGGCCAAGCAGTGGGATGAAAACCGCCTACCAACTACTGCAGCTTGACGAAATCACCTGCAAGTGTCCAAACAGCACCCAAGTATTCAAATGATGCACACCAGAATGAAACCAGTGCCGTCGAATTGCTTCGAAGCTCGACAAGGACTCCGGTCATTGGAGATTTTGGCGTGCCCTTTCCATACATGAGGAAGCGAGTAGGCGGTTTGCCAAATTCGTGCCTTGGGAATGTGTGGATTTGGTGAAGGGATTAGATACTAACTTTGCCAACCATCAGAGGCATGCACCAAAGCACAAGTTGGACTACAGTAGACCATTTCCCTACAACATGGCACTGCTTCAAAGAACCCTACGTTCAACCGCGGGTTTCAAACAGTCTCCTCCTCCAAAGCTCCGCTCGCGCGCCTTTTCAGCCCGCCATTCTTTGGGCTAGCTTCGCCTCTTTTCTTCCCCAAGGCTTTCGGAAGCGAACAGAACATCCGGTCGAGTGTCACGGGTACCTCCAAGTGTAACTTTCCAAGAAATGGTTTCCTTTCAGCCCTTCAAGATCAAAACGCCCACACGGGCAGCCGCAAAAACAAATAACACACACACACAAAAATGGGCCCCAAACGGGCAGCTTTGGGATGCCTTCAGAAAGTCTGATTGCTTCAATTTAAAAAATGGTTTTGGAAGAAAGCGTTCCCAAAAAGGCTCAGTATTCCAATTCAGAAGCTGCATTTTAGCACAGCCCGCTCAGGAACTTGCACGCCGTGATCAAAGTGCCAGGGTCCAGGTCAGATGTTTGGTCACAGCACCCATGAAAATCCATGCTCCTCCAAACAAAAAGGACACCACCATTCTGCGGAAGTCATGTTCGGGTAAAAATACAAGTAGGTTGGAAGTGCTTTAGCAAGTCCCGGGTTCCTCGCCTGTCTAGCCTCTGCTGGGAGCGCTAGGTCTGGTGGGACGCCAGAGTGGATTCCAACGCAGTCGTACCTCGGCAACACCAACCATGGACTCCAACCTCTTGACACGCGTCCAGTGCCGTCCGTGCACGCCCCCCTGTTGTTTGTCCCCAATGGCAGAAGCTCAGACGGGGTCAGTGAAAAGTTGCCGTGGACATACAGCTCATAGCATGGTGTGACCCTTGTCTCTTAGGGGGCGTCCAACTACAGCAAGTGGGTTGCAAGCTACCACTTCCAGAGTTGCTGACCGCGTACTAAGCACCCAAATCATTGAAGTAGACAAACCCCTGAACCAAGTGCAACCCTTCCAATGCCCTATCCCCCCTTATAGGTGCTTCTTCTTTTGAGGCAAACCTCCTCGCAAGCGACTGCTCCTGCTCTGCGCCCCGGGCAGCGGCGAGCATCCTCGCGAAGTCGACCTCAGGAAGAGTCTTGTGCTGTAGATGGCCACTTGGTCTCATTGGCCACATGGGAAAACCCGACCTATGGGTGGGCACGTGAGGTCGCGGGGGGAGTAGGTTCATGGCGCCCTTAAAGGAGCTGTCAAGATTGTCCAAATTTGCCTTTGACAGCGTTTGTAGGGTTGTGGGAACTGCACCCACTGTGCCAAGGAATCCTGCCAACGACAGCATGCCACTGGGGCCGGGTCCCACATCCCGGTTCCTTTCAGAACCTCTTTTCTCGGGCTTGCTTTCCCATCTAGAGGAGAATCCCTGAGTGCGGTAAGAATCCTGGACGAAACCAGGCAACCCAGGCTCCCCTTCAAATCACCCCTTCCACTAAGAAACGAATCTCCTAAGCAGGCCGTTCTTCCGACGCGCTTTGCATTCTGGTTTGAAGGACACCATAAAGGTTCGCCAACCGAAAAAAGAAAGAAAGAAGAGGAACATGAATTCTGCCAAGCCAAGTACGGCAGAGCACCGCGCAAAAGGCCGTCACCACGCAAAAGGCATCCGAGGCTTGTGGGATGTCTCGGCCCATCTCGAGCCGCGGCCCCGGCTCAGGGCTCTCGCGCCAAGGCCTCCAGAGCAAAGGCGATCCCAGAAAAGTCGCGGAGGTCAATAGCTTGCGCGGGGCATAGGTGGCCTTTTGGAAAAAATGGATGGGTTTCCCTGGTAAATGGGAACAAAACCCATCTACACCAGTGGAACCCATCGAGTTTTGGCCAGGCTCACCTAAAAAGGACACCTACGCGGGGCTTGCCTCCAAATGGGAACGGCCGGGCGTGTGTTGTGTTTGCTCCGTGAAACCAAGAGCACCCTCGGGAAGGACAGCAACATGTCCCGACGGCACAAAGCACCGGCTCAACTCTGGGGCATGCACGCAGCGGAGCCAGGTCGTGTGACCTTGACATATGTCGGCCGAAATGTTGCAGTCTTCCCAAGTCCGTTTGCCGGTCTTGCTGCTTTTCCAAGCTCATGAGGGCTCCCCTCAACCACATTCATCATGAGGCACATTGTTTCACTCCAGGCTGGTTGAGTTTGCCCACTCCTAGTCCTAAATTTCGGGGAGGGGGGTCGCGCGGAGTTGTTTGCCGATCTAGGCTGTAGGTCTCTGGAGGAGCTCCCATAAAAGGCCCTCATCGAGGGAACCTGTTGGGACAGTCCTTTTGATTTTCAACTGGACCAGCTGCTTTTGAAACGTGGGTTTGTCTCAAAATGAAAATGGAGGGGCCCCGCAGAATGGGCTGTTTCCTGTTGGTTCAAAACTCAAACAACAGTATCGAAATGATGTTCGTTGTTTCCCGTCAATACTCGAAAAAGGGTACCCTCAAAATTCCTCCAAGCCAACCCAGACAAGAAGGATAACTCCCAAAAATAAAAAAGAAGGCAGGTGCCGTCTCCCCTTTTCACCGCGCGCTTCCCGAACTGCTCTTCGGCCCGCGCCGGGGTGGGCGCACGGTTCGGCTGGGCGCTGGCTGGCCGGGACCAAGGCTGGGCCTGGGATCTTACAGCGTCGACGTCGAACATCTGGGCTCCACTTGGGTATGGGTGCAAAATATACCCAAAATAGAACCCTGGTAAATGGAAACATAGACTAAAACCTGCCGTCCCCTGGTGGCTTGACTTTGACTCATACTCACTTTTTGACGGGGCCCCAAGATAAACCCGGGGCCTCTCCTTTTGGGGGTACACTATCCCTGGAAAAAGAAACTCCCAATCGGTCAACAAGCGGAACCCCGCAAACTGCCAGTCCGCGCAAAAAAACACCATAAAGAACCGATGGGTCGCTGATCCGTCAAGGCAAAAACCGTCCGCTCTACGGCTGGTTCGTCAAAGCGAAGGCAGAAGCCTCTCACTCAGGATAACTGCCAAAAGCGACATGAGGCATCCGGCAACCAGCAAGAGGCACCAGCAATCAGCAACCAGCAACCAGGAACAGCTGCTGCTGCTGCTGCTACTACTACTACTACTACTACTACTACTACTACTACTGCTACTGCTACTGCTACTGCTACTGCTACTGCTACTGCTACTGCTACTGCTACTGCTGCCGCTACTGCTACTGCTACTGCTACTGCTACTGCTACTGCTACTACTACGACCACTACCCCATCAATGTTTGGTTCTACCAGAGGTTTGATTAACGCCGATGAAACCAGGCAGAATCCCTGAAAAAGGCCAATAGGAGTCGGTTTTGGGCGCTGACCCCAACCTCGCTTAGGCTGCTGCTCTGTCTGCTTTGGACATGTCCTGGCAAAGGGCAGGGCTCGTTTGAAACATTCCAAAGGCCAACATGACCCTCCCATCCACGAACATGGTTGTGAAAAGGGGACCTTTAGGTGAAAAATTGGTGTTTTTGGCTCTTTTTCTGCCACACGTCGCATATTGCAGGCACTTATCCACCATCGGACATGTTCGCACTACACTGTAGCGAGCACTCAAATCCCCAATTTGGCCGATCTGACCATGCAAACATGGGAGGTTATCTGTGCCTTACGTAGATTTCATGAATCTGAAGAGAGGTATCATTGCAGAGTCACTTAGCAGCCTTCAAGAAGTTGCTCAGGGCGAGTGTCAGGTTGGCATCGCCGTTGAAGAGGTCGATCTCCAGCAGATTGTCAGGAGGCACCACGCACCTCACCAAGTCGTGGTAGGCGTCCAGCATGGCGGCCAAGGTTTGGTCTGTGTAGTGCTCCAGCATCCACGACTGGCCGCACGGCCTGAGGACCGGCACGGGCGTGAATTTGTGAACCTTCTTCCTGCGCTTCGCCCACTCAAGGCTGGGCCTGGTGCCTGGTGGTCAGCACCACCTTGGCACCTGGGAACTGCATGTAGAGGTCCAGGAACATCTCCGTGAAGGGCGAGTCGCTGACGTAGTCAACGTTCGAAGGAAGTTGGCTGAAGTCAAAGCTCTCTACAGTTTTATAGCACTCATTGAAGGATACATTCGACCCGAGCTTGTCCAAGAGTGGGACAACAAAGTCGGGAAGCTTGCTCTTGTTAGCATGCTCATTGGCTGAAGCTCGGGAGTTTTGCCAGTGGTATCCGTGCATTCCGAGGTTTTCCAGCGCTGTCATAACACCATGTGTGCCGGTAGTGCCCATGCCTGCAGAAATCACCAAATTGCGGCTGCTTGTCGGCAGCCCGTCACGAAGTTTCCATGGCTTATACTCATGGAGCATGTTCAATGGCAACACCTTGCCAATGTACCCTTGCAAACATCTTTCAGTTCGCGCGGCGTCAGACTCGGACAAGAATGTTGAGCCTGGGGTTGTTCTCGTACTGAAGAAGAGCGTTGTCCTCGACGTCGCAAGCTCTGCAGGCTGCAAGCGGCAGCCAAGGACAGCCTAGCAAAAGCAAGAGCAGTGCACATCGAGGTTTAACACTATGAAGTGTCACGGACCGGGGGTTGAGTTGGGAAGCCTCGAGCCAAAATTCGTGGGGTGACCTCAAACTCCCCCCCTTCCATGGAGGGAACCTCTTGGAACATGAGACCGCATGGCTCTGAAGTGCATTGGCTCCAACTGACAAGTAGTTTTCCGCGGCCTGGTGAAAGGGTCAAGCGTATTCAATGGTTTCGACAAGAACTGCATACCTCTGGCGCCAGTGGAAAATGATGGCTTCCAGTGGCGGTATCCGCCGTTGGGCTGTTGAAAGCGCGGGCAGGCGAGCGAGCGGGCACGCCTGTGCCAATCGATGCTCTTAGCCAGCGCTGGCTGCCTTCTTTAGGCTGCTTGCGGCTGATGGTGCTTGTGGCTTGTGGCTGCTGACGGATGCTTGCTGCTTGTGTTGCGAAAGTCCATCAAAAAATGACGGTCGCACGGCCCTCTTGTGAGCGAGTCCGCGGAGTGGCATGCTGATGCTTGGTTGCTCTGTACTGACACCCGCTACGGCCACCCAGCAGGCCAGCGCCTCGGCGCGGGACCACCCCTTCCCTCCTCCCTCCCCCCCCCCCGCCTCCCAAACACCTCCAAATATAGACCAAAACTGGAGGTGCTTGGGATGAGCAGTCTCTGGCAAGTGGCCGAAGCTCAGCCCCCCACGATTTTGTCGCCGGCCGGGTACGGACTTCAACCCGAATGGGTGGGGTGAGAATAAGTCTAGAGCCAAAGCGAAGTCAGATTGCCCCCCCCCCCAAAAAAAAAAAAACGCAGGCAACAGTGCAGAGCAGCAAGCGGCTGCAAGCGCGTGCGAGCTGAGCATTTTCAAGTTCGCTGCGAAAAGGCCCATCACTTGTACTTGCTCCTGTATACCTGGCACGGAAACCCATCTGCAACATGCTAGATTCCCCGCAATGCAAGCGGGTGCAAGCGTTCATGTCGCGTGCAAACAGTCCAGGCGGGCCAGAGGGCCAACATTGTGCTTCTTGCCGGGAAGTACGCCACCCCAGTTGGCCTGAGCTCATTCCGTCGGCATATTCCAGGATCAAAGCTAAGCCCAGCACCCGCCACAATAAGTAGACCCGCATGGGCACCTTCTTGATCTTCCAGTCCGGATACATCTGAAGACCCCTGGCGACTCGGTCGTAAGGAGCTCCTGTGCCAAAACATCTCAACTGGCCAGGAGCACCGCTCCATGTTTGGCGTCTTCGTCAAGTGCTGGCGCATCTCCTGGACGCATCCACAAATCCACCCCTCTCTCCCCGGTTGGTGGCTTCGTAAGGCATGGCTGTTAAACGGATCGTTGTCAAAACTCTGTGTCATCCACGAATCAGAATCCCTGTAACAGGAACCTCAGAAACTGACTGATTTTTCTGGACCATTTGGGTGAAGTCGGAGGACCCTGTTGCGATGCTTGTCCAAAACCTCATGTGAAACAGACATTCCTGTTGGCCTCAATTGACTCGGCGTTTTGTGGGAAATAGTCATCCCTATTGGCCCGAATTCGACTGACTCGGCGTTTTGACCACGGCATGTTGATAAATAAGGAACAAACAAACGACTTGCTAGTGCCTCATTTGAGTAGTCCCCCCCCCTTTGGGCGAAGTTGGGCGGCTGCTTTCGCAGGCCTCACGAAAAGAGGTCTCTAAGAGAGAGACAATCAGATACCTAAAATTGGCTTTGCCCTAACCACAAACAATCACATACGGGAAATTGGCTTGGCCCTAACCCCAGACTCTAGACAATCACATATGTAAAATTGGCTTTGCCCAAACCCCAGACAATCACATACCTAAAATTGGCTTTGCACTAACCCCAGACAATCACATACGGAAAATTGGCTGTGCCCTAACCCCACAAAGTCACATAAGGAAAATGGGCTTTGCCCTAACCCTAGACAATCGCATATAGAAAATTGGCTTTGCCCTAACCCCAGAAAATCACATACGGAAAATTAGCTTTGCCCTAACCCCAGACAATCACATACGGAAAATTGGCTTGGCCCTAACCCCAGACAAATACAGACGGAAAATTGGCTTTGCCCAAAGCCCAGACAAAGAGGTAAAATTGGCTTTGCAATAACCCATACAATCACATACGGAAAATTGGCTTTGCCCTAACCCCAGATAATCACATACGGAAAATTGGTTTTGCCCTAACTCTAACCCTAGACAATCACATACGGAAAATTGGCTTTGCCCTAACCCCCGACAATCACATAAGGAAAATTGGTTTTGCCCTAATTAACCCAACGCAATCATATAGGTCAAATTGGTTTTGCCCCAACCCCAGACAATCACATACGGAAAATTGGCTTTGCCCCAACCCCAGACAATCACATACGGAAAATTGGCTTTGCCCGAACCCCAGACAATCACATACGGAAAATTGGCTTTGCCCTAACCCCCAACAATCACAACAACGAAAAAGGCCTTGCCCTTCTAACCCCAGACAATGACATAGAATCGGCTTTGCCCTCCAAACCTCAGACAATCACATGGCTTTGCCCTCGTAGCCCCAGACAATCACATCACATTGGCTTTGCCCTCCTAACCCCAGACAATCAAATAAAATTGCTGTGCCCTCCCAACTCCAGACAATTACACACAGAAAACTGGCTTTGTCCTCCTAGCCCCAGACAATGACATGGAAAATTGGCTTTGCCCTCCTAACCATAGACAATCACACACGTACAATTTTCTTTGCCCTCCTAACCCCAGACAACCACAGGCGTAGAATCGGCTTCTTGGGTTAGGAGGGCAAAGCCGATTTTGTGATTGTCTGTCGTTAGAAGGGCAAAGCTCATTTTGCGTATGTGTGATTCGGGCACGAGCCTGTGCCCAGGCAATGGGTAAGTTGGGGTAAACAAGCCACAAAAGAAAGGTTCCCCAAAAGCAAACCAATCCCCGGTCCCAAAGATCAGGGTTTCCCACACACCAGAGAACAACAACCAAAACAAAGAAAAGAGTTACCCGCAACCTTGACCGACAACAGGCCGCACGAATAGTCCCCACCAACCAGGCAGCGGCCCGAGGTCTCTTTCTCCCCCGAGATGCCGTCGGTCGATGCAGGGGTTCGGCGACGCCCATTCGAGGCGCGACGGAACCCATAAATCTTGAGCCAAAGTGGCACCGGATAGTTGCTATCGCAACATGCCGGTAGTCACCTGAAATGCATGGCTAATCACACCCCCCTCACGAGGAGCCCGTCATATGACGGGTGGAGCGTGCCATTTACTGATAGGATTTAACTGCTTGCATGTGTCCGCAAACAGCTGGACACTACCGCCGTCAGCGGTGGAGCAAACCCACAAAGGCAGTTGCGCGACATCCCGGGCATTAAATTCCCGCCACCACCCCGAATTAATCGGGGTAACGCTGTCCAACTTACCTTGTGGAAGAGTCCACATGACGGCACTAGGCCACAACTGTTTGCATCAACAATACAAGAAGTTCAATTCTTATCAGAAGCCATGAAACAAAGGATAACGTATGTTCATCAGTACCCTCTCGCCTATCGGCAAGAGGTACCACTGACCATGCGTGCCTGAAAAATGCTTGAATTTCGCAAACCTGGGAGTATCCTCCACCAGTTCGCTTCCCCTCTCACTCACACTACTTCATGATGAGCACGACCAGCAGCCGAGCAGCGGTACGGGAGAGACAGGCGCGGAGCACCTCAGCGGTTCGGGAGGAACATCATCACCTCCGCACCGCGCCGACCATTGGAGAATGGATGCAAGCCTATCGGCCGCAATCCCCGTGACTCAGCCTATCGGCTATCGTCACGTCTCCTCCGGCCACGTCCGCCCCGCGTACGGTCCCTGTCACGATCCCTCTCGGATCTCCTGCGATCATCTCGCCTTCGATCTCGCTCTCGATCGAGCGAGTCATCATCACGACGATCACGAGCACTGTCCCTCCTCCGGTCTCGATCCTCGTCACGCCGCGGTCGATATCTGCGCCTTCTCGATTCTCGAAAATCCCTGGTGTCCAGAGTCGATCCTAACGGACCTCCGAGAAGGAGTACGGGAAACATCCGAATCCCGACGCCCTCTCCCGAGGCGAGAGTTCGTCACGATCTGGTTGAGAGCCTCCAATGCTGAAGCATTCTCACCATTCCTGATGAAATCTCTGACCTGCTTATTCAGCACCCTATCGGGTGACATCGTCAGGAAGGCGTCCACCACCGAACTCTCCGGCAACACCAGGAAATGACCTTCCACCGAGCTCGCTGCAGCTCGCTCCGCCGACTGCAACCTGATCTCACTCCCTTCAGGCTTCTTCGCCATTGCCTTGGATGCCGTCAAAGGCGCTACCGCGTCCTTTGCCGACGACCTACCAAGTGCGGAGTGAAGATCATCTCCACTCGCCTCTCTCGCCGCCGCACCTGGCCGGCTGTCGACATCATCAGGTCTCTTTGATGCCTCCCGCTTTGTCGACTCCTTCACAGTCTCATCGGGATCCCAACGGGACTTTCTTTCTCTCTTCTGCCCTTCAGCAGATCCCCGACTACCGCCGGGAGCGTCGTCCCCGCCTACCTTCTCCTTCTTGACTTCAACCATCGCGACCCAAGTCTTGTTCGGTTGAGCCGCAGGTGTATCAACGTCCATCGGAGCCGGCCCAGCATCAGCCTTGGCTTTTTGCCTTTGGAACAGTTGGGCTATCGCCCTTACCAGACCCTTTTCCTGGCACGTCACCTGACCTCGGTGGTGGGCCGGAAGGACTACCGCCCTTACCGCCCTTCTCACCCTTCTTCCCTTTTCCTTTCCCGCCCTTGATGATCGGCTCCTGCTTTGGACCAGGACCCTGTGCAGCATGATGCACCGACTGGAGCTCGTCAATGTTCACATTCAACGGCTCCGGTTGACGACCATCAAGAACCGTCCTCACCCTATCGTCACTAACGTAGACGAATGGATCACGGAAAGGGGCAGGAGGCTCTGATTGCCCAGCATTGATTGCCTTCTGCACTTTGGCTACCGCCTCCCTCAATCTCTTCTTCTCGTCGTACCCCGTCGCCGAGACCATGTAGTTCCTGAGATCCGCCATCAATACATGGCTAGCCAGGATGTCTGCATCCTTCCTGTGGGTCGGATACAAGGGAGTCAGGTGACCCGCCGCAGCACCAATCACGTACGCCATCGGGATATAGAAGGACAAATACGTGTCATGACGGGCGAACTTCCTAACGGAAGTCGTCATACGTCTTCCCCACTGGGCCGCATGCATCGGGTTCGCTCGGAAGTACTCAGTCACCGACTCAAATCTATCGACTTGGTTGGTTTTGATCAGGTGCTTCGCCACCCACTTCTCCACGAATGCATCCGAGGCCGAAATCCCCGACACGTAGGAAAACTGAAAGAGCACCTTCGCCAGTTCATCCCACGCCGCATCAACTCCTCCCTTATCCTCACCAATTGAACTGTCCCATGCTCTTCACCCAGTCCGGGACAATGCGGCACCCCGCGAAGTCCCCTTCGTCCGCGTTGGGGATGAAGTTCGGGTAGAAAACCGGGAGCGCACATCCAGGGCACAAGTGCATCCCAGATGGCGTCATCTCCGCGCACCGCAAACAGAAGGTGCTAGTCACACTCAACCTGACTTCCGCACGCGTCCGCTTGTGATCCCCCCTATCGGGAGTGAAGCCACCGTAGTCCCAAGCCCGATGATACACTATCGTGCAATCATCGAACATGTACGCAGCCTTCCACGCACCCATGTGGATCTCGTTCCGAACGGCAAGAGTCTTCCTCCTCGTCAGAAACACAGGTCCAACCAGCGACCAATGCACTCGAAGGTCCACCATGACCACCACGTATCTACCTGAGTAGTTCCGCAGTCTGTCCCTGACGTACCACGAAGCCGATACCTCGGCATTTGGCCTCATAGTTTCCACAATTGGAACCAGGCCCTCATCCGGCCTCCCATCTCCAATCGATTCGTACTCATCGGGCTTCGTGATCAATATCTCGATCATGGCCTTTCCATTCCGCCTCATCTTTTGGAGCTGGACCGCCTTCCTGAAGTCCAAGAACTTCATCACGACATATCCCACCATAGGAATTTCACTCCAGTGCGTCTCGCACATCAGAGACCCACCAGGTGCATCCTCTTGAGTGTACCTTTGCCTCACAGAACTGAAACTCATGTCCCGTCCGATCTGCGTGTACCTAATGGCCACCAACCTGGTGCATTCCCTGAGGAGGATGCCATTCTCATCAAACA